ATATAAAACATTTTAAAACCTGAATGATTTGACATAAATATTTTCATATTCCACAAGATAAAATAACTGAATTTACCCAAATTATCCTGTAAAACTTTACCTGTCCTTGATTCTTAATATTGTGTTTTGCCTCCTTGAGCATCAATGACTGTTGTCTTTTGTTGTAGTTGTATATGGGTCCCTGGTTTATCCTAAGCTGCTCACTGTTCTTAAAAAAAGCCTCCAAGTACTGTAAGTTCTTTGGTTTCCTCGCATTTGACCTCAGTCAAAGTAGCTTAGTAGCTTAATGATTTTGAAATCCAGATTACCAATGGGGACATTTGAAACACTCATGCCCAACAGTCACAAACGGCTGCAAACAGCCACTGATACTCAAGCAGATAACACCAAGGGTACATTAACATTTTAGAAACAGAAAATTATGTAAATTATAAGTTATCTATATTTTTCTACTCAACCCAGGCAACCCAGGCGGGGCCCATGGATGGTTTAGTCTTTTTTTTTTTTTTCCTTTTTTTTTTTTTTTTTTTTTTTTTTTTACATTTTACCAATAATACACATTGCACAGATTCCGCAAGAGGCATGAAAACCATACATAAACATAGTTTAGCTGAACTCACCCTGATGACTTCGGGCGTCTGTTGAATGAGAAGTGTTGAGCCCGTGTCCCTTACAGTAGAAGTAGGGATTTGTATAGCAGCAGGTGCACTTGAGGGTATTGGTGTAGGTTTGCATTTAGGTGTTTGTGCAGGTGTAGATGCAGTCTCAGATGGAGGTACAGGCAGCGGGAGGGGAGCCACCTCTGCTTTGGTGCTGGCCAGTGTGTCCTGGAGAAGACGCATGACCTCTCGCTCCTTAGACTGGGTTCCTCTCCCAGCTCCACTCTCCACCAGCTCCTGAGCAAAGCTCTCAATGCTCTCAAGAATCCTGAGCAGCAGAGCTCCATCATCCTCTTCGGTGGCCTCAACTGCTGTTTCAGAGGGCTTGGTCACCAAGGGTCCAGACACACCGGCCACTGGCATATCTTTAGCAGAGCAACCAATCAAATGCTGGGGGAAGCCAGTCTGCTGGGCACAGTTTTTAAGTTTAGGGGGCAGTGGAGGTTCCTTTTGCATGTTTTGGGAAAGACACTCCAGGTCCATCAGCAGTTTATCAATGTCATCGGCTCCCCCTTTATTAATGTGCGAGGTTGACCTAGAGAACAGTCTGGAATCTGTGCTTTTTGGCAAGTACATCTGGTTGACCGTCAAGTCGTTTTTAGGCTTGAACACAGTTTCATTTCTGCTAAGTTCATGAAGTTTTTCTGAAACACCACCACTAGGTTCAGAATAGCCAGTGGGTCTTTTGGAGAATGATCTGGACTCCGAAATACTACAGCTGTGCTTCCCATCCCCTTTAACTGCCCTGTCCGGCATCCTTCCCACATCCGAATCCTCCTCCTCGATATACAGAGCTTCCATGGCATCCTTACAGAGGCTTTCGCTACTACTAGATAAGAGAGAGTTTGTGGAAGAAAATGTGTCCGGTCGGCTGGTTGAGACTGTGTGGTGGCAGATATAAGGCGTTGAACCGCTACTGGAGGCTGAAGGCAAGCTGCCATGTGGGAACCCATTAGTTGATGGAGGTGTACGTGCTGACAAACCAGGGGGGCTCTGAATGGGTTTCACACTGCCTGCAAGATCCCTAGAGCCTTCTGGAGGTTCTGGCTGGGAGGGTTTAGCTCGAGGCTTTGTGGGCGGAGGAGACTGAACAACGTCCTCGTAGCGCGGAGGTTGCTCATTGCCAAAGATGGGGGAGAAAGGGATTTGCTGCAGCCCGTGTATGCTGTTGACTAGTTCAGCAAGCTCGCTGTGCTCCTGCCTCACACTTTGCCCCTGTTCCAGTTCAAGAGGAAGCCTCTTCAGATAGTTGGAGAGGCGAGCCATCACATTTTTATAAATTACTTCAGGGTTCCCTGAGTCGTCGCTGCTTCCACCCATCGACTTCCTTTTGATGCACTGTTTGATGATGTCTGTGCACTTCTTCAGATCTTCCGAGCACTTGAGGAGAATGTCCAGACAGGCTTTAATGTCTTCTCCTGAGGCACTGCTGTCTGCCTTGGTCTTCTCCAGTATGCGGGTAATTAAGTTCTCCTCGGTGAGGCTATTCAGATAGAGCGTGGCCACATTGTTTAGGTTCTGCTCTAGGGATGCACTGCGACTTAGCTTATGCTCTTCGAGTACAGATTTCTGAAACAGGCCAAATGGAGGACAATTCTCATCATTGCCTGTGAACTGGCCATAGATGATGTCTAGATCAGTGGACCTCCTGCTGAAGGAGTCCGGCCGAACCTTACGGCCCTTTCTGAAAGTCACGTGGCTGGAAGAGTATTTGATTTTCTCAAAAGAAAACTCCTTGATTTTTCCACTGGCCAGGTTGATAGCTTCCCCTGTAATATCCTTGAGGCTTGCTGAGCTTTGGATGGCAGATCCTTTCTTAACTCTGGGGATGACCTGGTGGTAGTCATCGCAGAAAGCACCAAGTCCAGTGTTGCCATTCTCCATCGTTTTGGACTCATGAATGCTGATGGGCCGGTCAGAGCAGGCTCTAGATATGGGGGTATCAAGAAGTTCCGCACAAGTGCTGCGGTGAGCCACTGTGCAGTTTAGTCCATGTTTTAGTGCACCACAGGGCCCATTACAGTAGTGTACAGTGTGCTGGACACGACGGTCAATCACAACGCTGTTATAACAGTTAATACTGCTGACCACAATGCTATAGGTAGCCGCCATGGTCTTTCTTTGTTCATAAATCCAAAAGTCTGCTTTGTAATATAACGCTAGCCACCTAAAAATAATAAATGCTATGTAGACACATTTATATAAAAATGTCAAATAATATAAATCCTAAAAAGCAAATAATAGTTGCTTTGCTTAGCCTCAACTGCTGCTTTAGCTGATTCCAAGGAAAAAAAGGATTTTCATATCAATACTTCACCGGTGCCCATTGTTAAAGGGAAGTTACACTAACATTTAGCAGCATAACTATCCATTCCTTAGCATGGGCCCCAATGGCCTAATGATAGGCCTGTGTGCAGCACTCCAGATCATCCCCCCTTTGGACAGCCGAGGCCTGTGGGCATAAAGAAGTCCTCTGGCTCCGTCTCCAAAGCCACAGCATACAGCCCACCTGGTGACAGGCTTCCGCTGATGTGTTCAGCAGATGTTCAACCCTCTCTCTGTCTTTATCTTGCTTTACCAGCAAGAATCAGATGTTTAAGAATCCAATGTGAAAGTCACCTGTGAGTAAAAAGACAAAAGTGGGTTAAGGGGAGAGAGAAAGCACTTTTTCAGATCAATTGAAATACAAGTCTCTGAGACCCTAGATTGTCCTATTGTATCCTTGAGCTAATTGTGTAAACTATAAACAACACTGAATTTACAGCCTCTATCCAAATAGTCTACAACCACAAACATGTTGGTTTTCTTCAGGAAACAGAAGGAGAACAATAAAAGGAAGTTTCCGCCTCTGAGTGAAATATATTATATTAATGTATTTGGTAGATTATGTTATTCACAGTGACTTACACTGCATTCAATGTACAGTTTTTACATCACAAGTGGGGTATATATTTAATGTTATTTATTTTGTTGTCTTTATATTGTCTTTGGTTAACATATCTTTTCATTAGATTATAAGCACATTACACTTTTAACTTTTCTTTGGTATAGCTAAACCACAAAAAAATGATACTAAACAAGCTCAAAGCACATTAAAATATTCTACAAGCCAGAAGTGAACCACAAACTATGTCTTTCAAACAAATATAAACCAAAAAATAAAATGACGTGCTGTAGTGCCTAATGCTGGTATGTGGTTATAAAGAAAGACCTAAGCCTCAGGCATCTTAGGTCTCCTGTGTTATCAAATGTAGTCCTTAAGCCATCTTCAAAGAGGCCCACATCAGTGAAAGTTGTTAAAGAGCTTGTGAAGAAAGTACAGAGACACACTATTAGCATTCTTTGACAACACACCTCACTCTGCCTCTTTTCCCTATAAAGTGAGTTTACTCAAAAGAGAGCAGTTCAAATACACAAATGCCATAATTGAACAGTTGTACTTGTACCTTAGGTTGCATACTGAATCATTCCTCAGGCAAGGAACATTCTTTCCTGTAATGCTCTCATGACAAATATTTGTACTCTATTATTGAAGACCGGCACTAACCAACAACAACATGCACAAGAGCAGTCTTCCTGCTTCCATGTGCTACTAAAAATATTGTGAATTTAAGTGCAGTCTGCACTATTTAAAGTTTACACAAACAAATTAAACTTTTTACACAAACATTTAAAATTGTCTCATTGTAAATAATGAATAGTATATATTTATTAGTAATTAATTATTACATTTATAATTATGATTAATTAAATTATTATTATAATTAAATAGTGCCTTTTATGGATTTCTCCATCTCATATTGCACTAGATCGACCATGTCCTTCATACACCCAAAAGGTAGTTCAGTTCAGGTATTTTGAAAAGAAGTTACTTTGAAAAAAAAAAAAATGTATCAGTTTTTTCTTTTTTTTTTGGCCATACAGTGAAAGTCAGTGGGGTCCAGTGTTGTTTCAGACCCCAATAACTTTTAATGCATGAAGAAAAACTATTGAAACATCCTTCAAAATATCTTCTTTTATGCGTCACTGCAGAAAGTAAGTCTTACAGGTTTGGAACAATATGACGGTGAGTAAATTATGACACTTTTAATTTTTGGGTAAACCATCTCCTTAACAGATGAAAGTTCTCAAAATTTCTCCTTCAGTGCAGGGCTCCAGACTCATTCTTCCCACTGGTCACTCTTTTGCGACTGACTTTCTCAGTTGGTGGCATGAGCACACGATTTGTTTATTTTATTTTAATTTTTTTGCGCACAACATGGGATTAATCAATGCATGCTGATGAATTTTTATCATAGTTTATAGTTATATGGAAATTAAAGTGGTTAACATTCAACCCGTTCTTTTTCATCCGTATTATTATTTGTGATTTGAATTTTGTGAACGGGAGATCCTCTTTTGCTGTGTTATAATCCGGGCTTCGGATGCTTTCACTTTCAAATTCGTGATCTTGTTGTCACGTTTTACAAGAAAAGATAATTGTCGGTTTTGCTTACATACATCTACACATTTCATTTTTTAAGACTAAAACAAAAGATGGATTCATTTTTATTCTTAATTAAAAAGCACAACAACAAAACAGTAAGATACAATGACAAACTAGCTTACAAAACATTTATCAACAAAAACGAATAAGATTAGGCATGGCATACACCACATGCTGTGCTATATACCGACTAATAACTTACAGAACGTTTAGCAAACACTGAGGAATCAAATAAAAAATAAAAATAAAAGAGAGCCTCCATAGCGTAACGTGAGGTAAACAGCAAAGATAAAAGGCTTTTCAAAATGAAAACAAAAAGAAAAGTGAAACTAAACTTGCTGTCGGTGACAGTGCTTGCATGTTTTTTTCCCACAAGAATACTAACATGTTCATCTTCTCTGGTTTAAGAAGCGGTCTTTTACTTTAGCTTGAAAACCATCCATCGTTTCCTAAATATACGCGTCATTTTTGCTGCACGCACCTTCGCGCTCGTGCTGACGCGGCGAGTATAAACCAGGCTCTACACTCGAAGCGCTGCTCAGTTCAAACGAGTAGCACGGTTTCATTATGCTTTCAGTTTCGTTTGCCATTTGATGTTTCTCATATACAACAGAAAGGCAGCACTTATGAGTTGAAGAACGCGGTGGTTGCACCAGTGCGACCGCTCACAAAATTTAGTCGCACAGGCAGAAAAAATGGACGCAGTCTGGAGCCCTGCAGTGCATAGAAAAATGACATCAGCGACATTAATAAATAATCATTTCATGTCTCTACTGCTCACTCTCCCTCTCTCTAATGATAATTATGTCAACAGATGAGTCATTGAGAGACTGGAGACATATTTATTTCAATACATATAAGGGAATGAGCTCATTATTAGCATTTCTTAGCCGAAAATGCTCTCCACAGCCAAAACACGCTCCTTTATTCTCCAATTCCAATTTCTTTTTCCCTCTTTCTTTTATTTCTCACTCCTTCTGGCCCTATTGTTTTTCTTCCATTTTTTCTTCCTCTCACAGCAGGCCTCATTAAAGCCTTGTCTTCTCTGTGTCTCAGCAGAGCAACAGCAGAGAACAAGTCTCCAGGATTTCTACCACAACCTTACCTCATATAAATTCTGACTACAGCCATGCATGAAAGCATTTATAGCAGTATAATCTGCATTCACAATATAGACTCATAAATGCATTACACATCTGTATTTCCTCACAGTATTGGAACAATGGTCTCTGGTTAATGTTTTTTAGCATGCATTCATTACAGAGGGCACTAGATTGGTGGCATATGGAAAAACATTCAGAGAGTGAGATTTACAGGGACAACCCACACCCTCCATAATCTGTGTACTGACACGGTTCACAATGGACAGGTCCTGCTTGCCCAGCCAGTTACACTAAAAGCTGGTGCCGCCGGTGAGAACCTTACAATGAGAGCCACTGCCTTTTGCAACAAGACAAAGAGATATAGAGTATCAAATGCATAAACAGTAAGCCAGCTTCAGGATGCCAGGATTTACTTCTGGGGCTCATGAAACTTCATCAAAGAATCCCAAAAACAGACGCTATCTCCATTTCCACTGTGTAGCACTGTCTTAGGCGTCTTACATTACGGACAATGACTTTTATTGCTCTGGCCACATCCTCATGCCTCCTTGCAGCAGGACTATGGCATGTTCACACAGGTTATCAGGAGCCCTGGGCATCTTTCTCCTGGTGTTGTTCAGAGTCAGTAGAAAGGTCTCTTTAATGTCTCTTTAAGTTATTGGACCTGTGACAGATGCTGATTCTACTGATTCTGAACATAATTTACAGTCACAGTTTAACATAACCTATGTTATAGGTTTGAACAATGGTTAAACGAATAGCAGGCAGTTCTTAAATATCATAGGTTCAAAGTAAATATAATGAATTTGTACTTGTGGTCATGCATGTTTCTGTTTACCATGGGCAGTTTTGACTTTCCATGGCCAAGGCTCAGTAAAGACACACTGAAGAATTTGTTTATCATAGAGGATAACACTCTTCAGCTCCAGTGTCCTCAAACAGAGCCTCTCAATAACATAGGTTGCTTTCAAAGTAAGCTTTGACGTAACCGGTTGTCAAGTCGGGATGAACTCAATATGACAGGAAGAGTGTGGACCGCAGCAAAGCGACGGCTTTTTAATGACAATTTAATGGGCTGATCAACACATGATCCTGCACTCTCTCCTTTGCCTGCCGTTTCTATTTCCAGGCCGGTGGGGGGTTAAAGCAGAAGCCTTCACACCCTCACTCACCCAGCCTTCACATCATTCAGTGGGTGCGGACACCCATACAAACATCTTATATGTCTGATGAGAATCTTCTTACTGCATAGGACCTCCCTGGTTAGCTGGCTTAGCTGCTTTGGGATGGCTAGCTCTGTATGAAAATTGAGATGAAGAATGTCCCTAGAGATTAAGCTTTAATTGTCAGGCAACAGTCTTTATCTCAGCTTAATGTTGTAATTAGCATACAGTGATTGTTATGGAGAAAGCAGTGCATAAAATGCAAACATACTGTTTGGAAAGCAAGACAACATCCACCCACAGTTTTGAGACTCTCTCTATTGGCAGGAGCATGAGGAATGAGGATGCAGCAGCCTCATTATCTTTCTAATCCCATTGCTTTCACGCCCTACAGTCGTTCCATGTTTAATTACACCGTAGCAGTCACAGGCCGAGAAGTCACATCCGTGTCCTGTCACATCTGCCAGCGCTTTTCAATTTCGTGTAGAGACTCTTGGCTGTACAATATTGGCAGCTTTGGAGCATCTTCCTCGAAATAACACCCTCAACATGCTATATACTCAACAAGAAAATAGATCTTGTTATTTCTGCCAGGTAGAGCAATAAATCACAATGCGTTGGGGTCTGCTTATATCTGGCCCAATTAAGAGTTGAAGGATGAAGAATCGATATATGTTACAGTAGTGCTCATTAAGGAATCACTGCAAATGGAAAGCTTCACTTTGGAAGGTAAATTGGGAATTTGTGTGAGCCCTCCCTTGTTAGAGATCAGGCCTGGTCTTGTTACTGTGCACATGCTGTCGAAGGGGGGCCCGCCATGAGCTTTGTTTGTCTCCGCTTGAGTAATGACTTTCAAAAGCTGTTGCT